GCCTGAAGTTTGGCTAACTTTTCTTGATTCATGCTGTTGGTAAACCTGAAGCCGGGAGGGTCCCAACAACAGCACGCGGCAAGAGCAAGATGGCTGCCTCCTGCAATGATGGTTTTGTGCGTGTAAACACGTCATATGTGTACCGTTTATTAAATGTTCATTACACCTCAATAAAACCGATTTAATAAAGATAAAAGACTGTTTAAGGCAAAAATAGTAATAATATATTGCGGGGCTTATAACACAGATTAAATCTATAACATATATATATTGCGGGGCTCATAACACAGATTATATCTATAACATAGATTTAAAAATGTATCACTGGGGTGCCTGGGTGGTGGCTCAGTAGGTTAAGTGTCCAACTCTTGATTTCGGCTCAGGTCATGATCTTGCAGTTTGGTGAGTCTGAGCCCCGCACTGGGCTCTGTGCTGACAGCGCTTGGGATTCTCTCTCTCCCTCTCTCTCTGTCCCTCTCCTGCCCCCCCAAAATAAATAAACTTAAAAAAAAATTAAAATGTACGACAACAGTAACAACTGCTTACTTCACTGTAACACTACATGTGAAGCACAGTAACACCTAAGTTTAATCTGAACGCCATTCTTTAATTTTTAAAAGATGTAGACATATGCCAAATGTGCCAAAGCCTTGTTGAGGATGGAATGAAATAATGCTTTTGAAGCACCTGCAACAGTCCTCGGCAAGAGTAAACACTAATAAATGGCTACTCGTGTTAACAACATGGTACTTAAGGAAGAAACAAACACTAAAAATATTTCAAAGTGTTTTTTCTCACCAGGCATACAATATTCTAGTTTCAAGGAACACTCAAACAAAGGTTCTCACTGCCGATTCACTGGAAAGCCAAGCCACGTATTCACGTTTTTTAGGGACAAAAAATAGTCTAAAATTCTCCTGTGTCTAAACCCTTAGAAGGCACAGGCAGGGGTCTTAGGTATAAAAGAAAATCAGTTCTCTGGTGTTAGAAGCACTGGAAATGGGGGAATCCTAGGCCCTGGAGAGTGAACACATTTCTCCTTCTTTCCCCAAAACCAGCTCTTTTATTTATTTTTTTAATGTTTATTTATTTATTTTGAGACAGAGAGAGTACACGAGCGGAGGAGGGACAGAGAGAGAAAGAGAATATCCCAAGCAGGCTCCATGTTATCAGTGCAGAGCCCAATGAGGGCTCGAACTCATGAACTGTGAGATCACGACCTGAGCCAAAACCAAGAGCCGGATGCTTAACAGACTGAGCCACCCAGGCGCCCCCAAAATCAGTTCTTTTAAAAGGCAAACTTGTGCTTCAAAAGAATAATTATGTGCATAATTCAAATTCCTTTCAGTATCCTATGAGCTTGGGCTTTAAAGCTTTATATTTGGAAAAATACTAATTGCATTCAATTATGAAATGTCCGAACTCCATGCACTTGAAAAGGATAGACCATCACCCCACAGAAACCATATTAAGTGCTTCATTATGGAACCATGATAAACACTTTGAAGGACATGAATCTAATGGACCTACTTGTGATTTTCTTACCAGTTTCAACAGTTCCAGGACTTACCACTTGGCAGCTGGGCACAAGAGTGACCTCAATGCCTGCTCACCTGAGACTCACCTTGGTCTCTCTGGAGAAGGGTTGGGACTGCGGGGAGGAGGTGTGCGGGGCACAGCTGGCTTCGGTGCGATGCTGGCTGCAGGTAGGAGGCCATGGATGATGTGTTTCTGCACAAATGAAACCTGGCTGGGTCACTGGTGTATGGGATCGCCCGGGTCCCGTCACCACCCCTCCTTGGGCCTAAGAGAAGACACCTGCACTGGCCACCCAGGGATCAAATCCCACCAGGAACCCACCTGGCCAGGTAAGCATGCCCATCCAGAGAATATACTGCAGCTGCCCATTGTGGGGTCCTCTTGTCTTTCCCTTCTCAGAGGGGCCTCCCTGACAATCCCTCAGAATCATTCTCTAGAACTCCACTTGTCTCACAGCATGACCCCCGATGACTCTAGTCCCTCACTTACTGCCCCCCGCGGAATGGAAGCTTCTTGAGAGCAGGCAATCTTCTTGTTTTTATCACCCTGGAACTCAAGCACTTCCCTCCTTACTCAACATCTGGTAGAAGCTTATGAAAGATTTTAGTTTATCTCAAAGATGCAGAGTAATTGGGGGCACCTGGGTGGCTCAGTCGGTTAAGCATCCGACTTTTGACTCACAATCTCACCATTCATGGGTTCGAGCCCCACGTCAGGCTCTGTGCTGACAGCTCAGAGCCTGGAGCCTGCTTCAGATTCTGTGTCTCCCTCTCTCTCTGCCCCTCCCCTGCTCATGCTCTGTCTCTCTCTGTCTCTCTCTCTCAAAAATAAACATAAAATTAAAAAAAAATTTTAAAAAGATGCAGAATAATGAAAACTAGTTCCTATGCACAATGAAAATCAGAGAATCTGGCTTTAGACAACTGGCAATTATTCAGAAGGTTTTTTTTTT